TCTTCCATTTTCTCGGAAATCTAAATGCACACACTTTTATGACAATTATATTTTGTTGACAGATTGTGTCAAATAAATTATCGTTTATTTTATGCTGGGCTCATCCTCATCGGAACCATAAAAATTTTAATAATTAATAAGTACATTGTTTTTTTTTAATTTTTAGTAACAGGATTGAACCAGTACCGTCCCGTCGAGGTCATGAAAGGACAGTGGTTGACCGGGCCGGGACAATGCAGGGCCGGGAATCACATACGAAAAAATAATAAACGAGGCACTTTATAGTCTGTTTATTCAGTCTGACTGAGGTAAAATGTTTTTTGGAGTCACCGACAAATCTACCATTGTTCTCACTGCACAACGCAAGTGCAAGGCTGCAAGCCATCCTATCTTTAGCTTTACCCACTCTACCTGCTTTCTAAACGCTAATTAATGAATTCATTGTTGTAGAATGTAGACTTTTAGTGGACTAATAAAAGAATATTTTTTTTTTGTAAATATGAGTATGAGTATTTTCAATTCTTTGGGCCGGGTATTATGATTGCATGACCAGGCCGGGACGTTCTACGGAACGGCACTGGATTGAACAAAACGCTATACAGCACTTGTGGGTAAACTAAATCTCTCACTTGTGTGCTGTAATCTCCACACACGCGTGAGTGAATCTTTTAGTTTCTCCACTAGGCACTTGTACTGTAATATACTAGTTCAATGATATTATTTTTGACAGCGTTTATGTTCTTATAAGCGTTCGCTACATAAACGTAGACCATTTTCTTTTAAATAAAATGTTATTAAAAATGTGCTATAATACGAGTATGAATATTTTATAAAGCATTCATCTCGGTATTCATTCTTTATTTAATATCAGCTTGCGATACAACATTTTTATAGCTTTGAAAAAATGATGACGTACTTATAACAAATACATGCATCGATTTTTTTGGCATTAGGTATACAAATTCGTATTTATGTGCCAAGCGCTTTGGACAAATTTTTGCACGTATAATTTCTGTGGCCAATATCCAAATATGATCATTTGTTCTCAAAATATAGGTACCTGAGAAAATTCTCAAACTTATGGGTTCAATACCCAACAACTAAGAAACCGATGCAGTGTAGCTGATTTTTTTTATAGCAGTGGTTACTAATAAAATCTTCCATATTTTCCCACTGCTTTTATTCTCGGGATAGCTTGGTACTAGTTTTTTGTTACCGTCTGTCGGTTTATCCATGTTCGTGATGTAACGAAATGTATATGAAACTGTGCGCTAACAAAAGATCATAATGATCTTTGCGCTAACTAACACAAACATACAATTTTTATCGTTCACGTTTTTATAGCAAAACCAGTAACATTTATAACCGCTTCTATTTTTAAAGATATCGTTTTATCATCCTACAATATGGTATCGATCGACTTCCTCGTCTCATCTATCAGTTTAATTTAATTATCCAAATAGTATTTAGATAAATAAACTGATGTAAGTACTTATGTAATGTAAAATATTCCGAGTAATCAAAGTTGTAGATGACATTCGGCAAGGGCGCTACAACCGACCTTGTATTGATTAATGAGTAGGTAGTAAGTAGTAGATAACTAACAACTGGGTTGTTTTTTAAATAACGGATAAGGATCGTCTCATGCAAAGTCAATCTTTATCGCATAATAATACACATCAGTTTTGCCTATAAAATATTTTTTATTATACCTGAATCACAATCTCCGTTTTAAACACTCAAATGCGTGCGAAAAAGGGCCTTTAAAGTTGCTAAGTAACGATACTTCAAGTATGACTTTTGAAACTGTCATCTGGATGAAATAAAAAATCCTCTTAGGTCGCTTTCTGTAAATGCATAACATTTCTTTGGCTTTTGTACCTATCCTTTGGTTGAAGCTTTCACAAACGCGCGTAATTTAGGGTATGCTTCCAAATCTTTTCCACTTTTTAATCGCAGCATTGCTTTAAAGTTTTGAATGAATGCACCAAAATATAGAAGATTTAAATACCTTTGACATTTCCTTCATAATATGCCAGCATTATCGATGCATTTAAGACTTTATTCGTAAGTAACTTCCTATTCATCCATGGAAACAACTTTTCATATTCTTTATAATAGGCTTTACTGGAGTTGGATTTTACACCTATCAACGTTTGTTTAGATTTTACAACAATCGATTTAATGGGCGGTGTATTATCTTTTTCAACGGAAATCGTTTAATTCACAAAGACGATGATTTTTATAAGCAAACGTCAAGTGACATTTACATGGCAATCGTGAAATTACGAACACCCAGCCCACTTAATTAGACACGTATTCGAGTATAACGTCAATATGACTTCATTGTATTCCCTATTTTTAAATTATACTGCAGGTATAATTAAAAATACTATAAGATACACGTGTATAATTAGTCTTTAAAGCACTTGCAACGTTAAAGGCACTCCGCTTTGCGTCGTGCCCTTAAACTCGTTGCGCGTGCTTTAAAGACTTGATTATACACTTGTATCTTAATATACTATAATGGTGCCATTTCGTGGATATTTAAGAGAAGGCTTGCCCAACGAAATAAAAATGTAAATTGAACTACTTTTTTTAGTGAAAATATTAAATGTACACACACTATGCATGCTAGACTTCTAAAACATACCAAATATACTCTTGTTGGCGTCAGGACTCAGGAGCGTAGCTAAAACTAAAAGATTTTTAAAAAAGATAAAAAAAATCGCTGAATCCGAAAATCATAGTCCCCCTGGCCGAAAACGCCCGGAACATATTGTTATAAACAAAAAACGAACAAAAAAAGGAAAAATGTTGTGTTTGTTCACATTTGACTTCGAATATCTCGCTAACTAAGTATTGCTCGGAGGGAAAAAATGAATAGAAATAAACTTGTTTAGAATAAAATTTTCTATAAGAGACAGTTGATACGGAACGCTCATTTTCAACTGTTATTGTTACTTATGGAAAAATGTACAAAAGTAATCTCGAAAATTAACACTTTGTTATTACTAAGTAAAATTCATCCGATCTTTTTGAAAATCCGTATTTAGTAACTTCTTTTGATAACAAAACAATATGACAAACCAGATCACCGTAGGTTTCATACTCATTGATTAATTAGATAAACAAGTAGAAAAAGGTATGCTTTGTCTTTCAAACTGGGGGACTACAAGAGCGTTCCCAATTTTTTATAATATAGTGGAACCGTAAAACAATCTTTTCCAATAATCGTCTCGATCATTTTTGCAAATCAACGGACTGTGGAATTTTTTTAGTTAACTAACAAATCGAATAGCTTCCGAGATTTAACAAGAAAAGTAACTCTATAATCGGCCCTTGGCACTCGGATTAATAAAAATCATTCATTTTGCTGAAATAGAAGCATGAAAAAAGTTCACGCTGTAAAGAATCGATCGGTGCTACCCGATTTGCAAAATCATTTTTGGTTGTTTCGAAAACTGGCTTCAAAGTCAAAAGCTGATTTCTCGTGAACTATTAATCGGATTTGGACGTATTTTTTTTTAATGTACGGCTTTCCGAGAGCTTTACATTCGCCTATTATAGAGTTATATTTTTTTTGGTTATATTTCGGGAGTTATTCCATTTGTTAACTAAGAAAATTCTTCGGATTTTGAAAAAAAAATTGCACAGTCCGTCGATTTGCAGGAATCATCGGGACAATTATTGGGAAAGATTGTTTTAGGGTTATAATATGTATAAAAAAATTGAGAACACTCTTGTACTCCCCCAGTTTGAAAGACAGACCATCTCTTTTTCTACTTGTTTATTTAATTAATCAATGAGTATGAAACCTCGGTGATCTGGTTTGTCATATTGTTTTGTTATCAAAAGTAGTTACTAAATACGGATTTTCAAAAAGATCGAATGAATTTTACTTAGTAATAACAAAGTGTTAATTTTAGAGATTACTTTTTTACATTTTTCCATAAGTAACAATAACAGTTGAAAATGAGCGTTCCGTACCAACTGTATCTTTTATAGAACATTTTATTCCAAACAAGTTCATTTTCTATTCATTTTTACCCTCAGAGCAATAGTTAACGAGATATTCGAAGTCAAATGTGACAAAGCAGGACATTTTCCCATTTTTTCTCCGTTTCTTGTTTATAACAATATGTTCCGGGCGTTTCCGGCCAGGGGGACTATGATTTTCGGATTCAGCGATTTTTTTTACATAGGATGCGCTTGGTTTCGTTCAGTGAAATGACAACATTCAGTTTATGCTACTTTTAGAGTCAAATGACTGGACTAAATATAAATTAACATGAAATATATTTTGGGCTTGCATGAGACCTCGTATGTTATCCGATGGATATTTTAATTATCTATCCGAGGATGTTTTTATTTTTCCTGTAGGTTTAAATGGGCAGCAGGAATTGCCGAAAATGTAATTTCCCATGTTATTTCCCTATGTTTGCCAATGTTACGTACCGTTAACCGTTAACTTATACTGCTTCACTGCTTTATCTAGCAGAAAGTAGCACTAATGTGCTGTAATATTTGCGAAAAATAACTCGACCATGGCATCTGCTCATTCATGTACTTTCACTCTAAAAATTCCTTCACGTAATATCTAAAATGCGTTATAATATATAATCAATAATATAATCATATAGATACAGGGTGAGTTTCGTTCGATGTTCATCAAAGTGATGTCACTAACTACGAACGTTAGAGAGAATTAAATGGATATGAAATAAATGAAATATTTTCAAAATAATGTGTCGGATTAAATCCCAAAAATGGACCATCGTAAAATTTCCTTTCCGCGGGCGCTATTCTATAGCCAATGCGTGTTGTTGGGGCGGAAATTCTAAACAAGATACAGTAGGTACCTATGTCACTACACAAGCTGATTCCAGGCATTTTTAAAAGAGTCGAGTCTGGAGCGACAAGTCTGCGCTACATTTGTTTATTCGCATACCAAAATTTCACTGTTGAAAAATTTCCACTAACGTTTCTCCATTTTTCAGGGCATGGCATTTACATTGGAGGAACGCCAAGCGTTAGGCATTCACGGATTTCTTCCTCCAGCCATTAAAACGCAAGAACAACAAGTGGAACATTGCAAGAAATTTTTAGACACATTGGACAACGATCTCAACAAATACATCTACTTAATGGGATTACTGGTAGGCGATAATTTAATTATTTTATCGAAAACCCACACTAATGTTGCATATTATTCATTATAGGATAGAAATGAAAAATTATTCTTTAAACTGGTAACGGAAAATGCCGAAAGAATAATGCCTCTAGTTTATACTCCAACGGTCGGTTTGGCTTGTCAAAAATTCGGCCTAGTCTTCAGGCGCCCCAGGGGGCTCTTCATTACAATACACGACAAAGGACACATTTTCGATATTCTCAAGAATTGGTAAGCCACTTTGCATGCGAATGTAGCGATAAATACTCATAAATCGCAGGCCTGAACCCGACGTTCGTGCTATTGTGGTGACAGATGGAGAACGAATTTTAGGTTTGGGTGATTTAGGTGCATGCGGTATGGGAATACCAATAGGAAAATTGGCTTTGTATACCGGTCTAGGAGGCGTTAAACCCCATTACTGCCTACCAGTCACTTTGGATGTAGGAACAAATCGGCAAACAATGCTGGACGATCCACTGTACATTGGGCTTCGGCAGAAGCGTACCACCGGAAAAGCATACGACGACTTTATAGACGAATTTATGCAAGCATGTGTTCGTCGCTTCGGGTTAAATACTTTGATCCAATTCGAAGATTTTGGAAATCACAACGCGTTTAGATTACTAGAAAAGTATCGCGATAGTTACTGCACTTTTAATGACGACATACAGGGTACTGCCAGTGTTGCAGTAGCTGGTGTATTTGCGTCATTGCGTTTGACAAAAAAGAAACTGTCCGACAACGTATTCGTATTCCAAGGAGCAGGAGAGGCGTCGTTGGGTATTGCGAATTTGTGCAAAATGGCTATGATGAAGGAAGGTACCTCTGCGTGTGACGCTTTGAAAAAGATTTGGATGATCGATTCCAAGGGTTTGATTGTAAAGAATCGTCCGGAAGGTGGTATAAACGAAGAAAAGGCAGTTTATGCCAGAGATCATGCCCCCGTTAAAACTCTCGAAGAAGTTGTGAGGATAGCAAAACCAACTATATTAATTGGTGCTGCAGCTATAGGAGGTGCATTTACACCAACTATTCTACAAGAAATGGCCAAAAATAACGCACGCCCTGTCATATTTGCTCTTAGCAATCCTACAGATAAAGCAGAATGCACAGCTGAAGATTGTTATAAATACACCGATGTAAGTTTCATTAACACGCATTGTAAGATATCTAATATAATTGCGTTCTTTTAAGGGAAAAGGAATATTTGCCAGTGGATCACCTTTTGATCCCGTCACATACAAAGGAAAAACACTTTATCCTGGACAAGGAAATAACTCTTACATCTTTCCTGGAATTGGTTTAGGAGTTATCAGTGTTGGTATTCGTACTATTCCTGAGGAAATATTTTTGGTTGCTGCTGAAGTAAGTATTGTTAATATATATTGGTAAAGAATTCCTACTAATTTTTTTTAAATTTTTTTAGGCTCTCGCAGAATTGGTTTCAGACAAACATTTAGACGAGGGACGTGTGTATCCACCTCTACCTATGATCCAAGAGTGTTCAACTGCTATTGCAGTACAAATAGCGGAGTATGCATATAAAGAATGTAAGTTGCTATAGGCATTTAGATTCATATTCAATAACCTTTCTATTTATAGGTATTGCATCACTACTTCCGCAACCGGAAAATATGGAGTCATTCATTAAGTCACAAATGTACAATACCAATTACAAACCTGCTCTACCAAGTACCTACTCATATCCTAAGTTATAATTAGGTATCTGCATTTCATTTTAATTTATTTAAATATAACTCTTAATTATTTATTTTACCAAATTATGTTGATTAATGTTGTGGATTGTGCAATTTTAAATATGTATGTTTGATGTTAATTTAAAAAATAAAAAAACGAAGCAATTTTTGAAATAACACTTTTATTAGACTTTTACAAAGCAGCATCGTGTATCCGTATGGGTGGCACCGTTACCACCTATATTTATGGTGGTACAGACGTTTTCAAAGCGCATCAACAGCCGTTTGTGTGACCTAACGACAGTCGTGGTTTGACTGCCGGGATCGCCAGCTTTACGTGCCTTCCAAAGCATGGTAGTCAGGTGATGGCACGTTGTGGGATTCGAACTCATCATTGACATCATCTGTGACGTTAGGGCAGTAACGCACTAGGCAGGCAGGCTGGCTGCCTAGTACGTTACTGGCCTAACCTCACAGATGTTGAGCTCGAGGACGCCGACGCTAAAGTATCACGGCACCACAGTATCCCGGCGTCAAAATGTCCCGGCGCAAAACCGTCTCAGCGTCAGCCCGGATGTGACGTGAGTTTTGTCAATGAACTTGCATACGCGTCCCGTAGCTTGCCCTATGTGAAGGAGTAAAGGAGTTATCCTTTTGAAATATGTGATGGTTTTCAGTTTTGCCCGTCCGTCTGTTCCTCGTATAACCAGGCCCCGGGCTATGTTTTTAGTGCTCTGGACTACGTGTAGCTCGGCGCTCCCGTTTATAATAGTTAAATTGTGTCCTTTATAGTGACCGAACATTATAGGGTTATTTATCTGTATTGATTTTGAAACAAAATACACCAAGAACCACAGAGGGAGAAATGTCCCACTAGCAAAAATTAACAGCTTTTTACTACGAGTAGGTACAAGCGTCGAATGATATGTACATTTATTTTTGCACATTTATTTTGACAAAAATTATCCACAAGCCCAGATATAAATTTCAAATAAGGAAAAAAATATACAGTGATATTAATTTAAAAGTGGACATGACAGGGATTTCCTATGTCTAGTTTTAAATTACAAAATCTCTTCTGAAGAATGAAACTGAATGTTTTAACTTTTGTGGAAGAGAATCCCATAAGAAACTTAAGGGAAATGGTTGAATTTAATATGTCTTCATCATATAACCTACAAGCATACTAGCTACTGTCGTTTTTATTAAAATTGTTAAAATCTATTTTTTTATAGATTACAACAAAATGTGTGCGCATGTTATTTCGGTTGCATAAAATTAGGCGTCTTTTAGAAGTATAGACATACGAAATCACTATGTCTACTTTTAAATGAATATCACTGTATAATTTAGCACATCCCCCGAAAGTGATGCCCTGGGATATGGCCCACTTAGCTCGTTTAATTATAACCCGGGACCTGCGTATAACTCGACAACGATGTGTCGATGTCAAACCTTCGCCAATCGATTTCTACGCTCGTTCAAAGATGTGCTATTGAATATGAGCGCGATTAAAAGTCTGGTTTCCGAATGCGAGCTGAGTGTCAAAAATTCCCCTACTAAAAATCGTATGCGACTCTTCGTATTTTGTTTAATGTTAGGCGCGAGTTTGAGGGGTGGTTTGTAAATTTAACTCTCCTTCCCCTTTTACATTTTCTATGAGGGGTCGCTATTTTTAGCGCATTTTTTAAGAATTAAAAAAATGTGCTATTGTTTGCGTTTTGTCCGTCCGTCCGTCCGGACCCATTTCTACCGTTTATTGAACTACTTCTAGGGGAATGGTCCTAGCGTCCTGGAATTTTTTGCAGTTAGGTAGCCTATACCTTGAAGGTGTGCCAGACGGCCATCAAATTTCGCTGTGTAAAAAGCCCCCCCTCCCCAAATTATTTCCTGAGATGCTGTTTTTGAAAGTAAAACGTGCATATAACTTTTACATACGAACCAATTGCTTTCATTGTATTCTAAAGAAAGGTTTCAACGAAAGGAAATTAATTTCTACCAACCAATATATCCATTGGTGATGTCAAAACAAAAGCTATTTACAAAAGCTATTTCGGCTAAAAAAATTGCGCTTTATCTGCACAATGTATACTGCATTATTATAATACTACGAGTAATACATGGAAATAATACCTACCTACCTTTAAGTACCAATTTAAGAAATACTGTCGCATTTCCAAATTGGTGCTGTAGGTACGTTTTTCTACCCTCATTACAATGGCTGTTATTTACGAAAAACGACTTCCTAAAAAACTAAAACCGATATTTCAAATTTTTTAAGGAGCCTTCAAAGAGGTATTATCAACGTTTTCATTTGATATATAACTTAATTATTTTCTTCAAAAACAACCATTAAGAATTGGTACTACAAGAAGTACCCCAGCTCCTCAAGTCATATGACCTGAGACGGTCAATTCCATTGGTTAAAATTTTGATCACTTTCGTTCAGTGGATTTCGAGGTAGCTCCCCTACTATATGGTTTTCAACTCATTTTAAAAGAATTGTCTTAGCATTCTAAAACCTGATCTGATCCATGGTATTCAAACAAATGGGCTTGAGTAAAGGTATTAATTTCTACCTTCCAACTACGATCTGCATCTGAAATCTATAGATGGTTTTATCACTAGTAGGCAAACTTCTCCTCCAAAAATGCATCTCGGGAATATATGTTTATAAATAAGAGAAGATAATAAATTTATGGATTTTATTAAAGAATTAAAGTATGTCATACATTACAAAAGTTAAGCAACTAACGCTGACGCTGTGCTCGACTCGTACTTCCAATTTGGTGCTAATACACTTTTGGTCTTGTAGTATCTCGCAAGTCTATGAATACGAGATTCGACCAAAATTAAACGGAACTTGCTGTCTTTATCTTTCCTGTTGCGTTCTAAATGTTTACGAATTGCAACTGCCTTTTTGATTAAGTAATACAAATCCTCGGGTAGATCAGGAGCTAAACCCATTGCCTTCATGATGCGTAAAATTTTATTACCAGTCACAAATCGTACTTGAGCGACACCGAGCGAATCCCTCAAAATGATACCTATAAAAATTACGAGTATGAATAATTATATAAATGCATCTACATACACTACATACCTATTTGGGAAGGAGTCAATCCCTTCTTGCCCAACTTAAAGATGTGATCTTTCACATCCTCCGCGGTCAATTTGAGCCATGTTGGAACGCTTCTTCTATATGGTAATGCAGACTGTGCAATACCCTTTCTGCAACATAAAATAAAAATTAGTCTCTTCTGCAAGTTTCAAATATGTTAAAGGCATGGTCACGCCATGAGGTATAACCTATAAGATTTGGTAACTGTTTTTCTTACTATGAAGTCAAGTATCTTATATTAAGCTCTAGGTTTTTTTTCGCAACGTTAGTACTAACCCAGGAGTGTGCATACGACCCATTTTAACGGAAAGTATATTCTTCTAACAATCCAGGTAAATACAAGTTGTCAAAGCGCAACCTAAAAGAGGAAGTGGCTATTCGTAGACTTCTTTTTTTACTACGAAGGTTTACTGCGCATGAACGGAGTGCTTAGTTGCCGCATTTCGAAAATGTAATGTAATTATGCAAAATCACATATTGTAGATAAATTTCAATGCGGCAAATGTTTAACGTTCAACGGCGAGCGCTATCAGGATATGACAAATTAGTTTTTGTATTGTAGGGGAAATAGAAAAATATCGATCTAGGTCTGGTTATAGTGACTTTATAAGGACAGTGGCGACAAGACAACTTATCATAATCTGCCATATTGGACCTAAAAAAAAATTATTGTAGGATCAATATCCCTCGCCATGTCAAATTGTGACTGTAGAATTATAAAAAGGCCAGTTTCATTGAAGTTAAGATTCTCGTTCAAAACTAACGGCGCAAAGATGAACGTTTAAAGCTTTGCAGAACAACCTATGGCAAAAACACTGTGTCCCAAATTCAAAAAGATATGGAAAACGATATCATAAGCATAAAATATGGTGCAATATCCAAAATGTACAAGGTAAGCATTAGTTATTAAATTGTATTTGACATTTCAGTGGTTCAGTTATTGGTCCTTGTCGCGTGTTTCTCGGATAAAAAGTATTACTTTACCCCCTTAAATGAAAGACAAAACACGTTGATTTAGTCCACGGAGTACAAGAGATACTCCATATGTGCTTCAGCAATCATCAATTTTAAACATTAAACCCATTCAAGCGTATGATCACAATTATCCATAATCATAATTGAATTTGCTGCTAAATGTCGGATAAGCTGCTTCGCTGACCAGTTTTCTTTCTAAACTCATTAGGTAGGGCTTCGGAAAAAATGTTTACATCAATTACCAGTAGTAAGGTTAGGAACAGTTTTACATCTAAAAACACTTTAAGCGAATTACATACCTAATATCGTAAATTCAAGCTATATCTCGGCTATATGCGTCTTTAAAATCGATGTTATATAAAACTAGAGACGGAAAACGTAAAATAAAGCAAATACAAGAAGCAAAGTGTAAACTAGTAACGTGAAACCGTGACAATTACAGGTGACACTGTCAAAACAGTATAATTAATAATTATAGCACGGAGTGTACCGCGTCGTTTTGGAGGCTTTCTATTGGCCAGTTTGGAATTTAGCTCCAATATGGCGACCAGAACAAACGACCAATCAAAAACGAGATACCCTGTTGTCGCCACTGTCTCTATAAAGTCACTGTAGGTCTGGTTTCAGCAGGACATGGTGCAACTTGCCGTTCTCATCATCAACTTTTTGCATACAAAATTTAACCATCGAGGGTTTCACCGTTTCGGATATGTTAATTGGCTACCTGATCGCTGGAATTTAATTAGAATTAAATGGAATGAAATTATTTTCTGTAGAGCGCATCTTGGCAGACAAATAATTATTACCACTCGAGGTTCCAACCGTTTGGCCGGAAATGAGCGTACAGAGAGACCGACATAATCGAGATTTTGTTTGATTCGGCTTCTGGTGCTTCAAAACGTGTATTTTAACCGATACGTATAAAAGCGATTAGAGGTGACAACACCGCTCGTAGCCATATGATCGAAAAGTGGGAGTAGAAAAGTCGAAAAGAAAGAGTGTAGCTTTCGTGCTACGAAAGTAAAGTGACGTTTTCCAATCGTATTTTCTTAATTATCTTAATCATTGTTTTTTCAGTTTTTAAACAAAATGTAAACTATACGAACATTAACATTCAGTATTTCAACATGAACTTATCTCTTTCCGAAAATGTTGATTAAAAATGTGCCCACTTTGAATAGTGATTCTCCTATTTCATTTTAAGCTAGCATTTGTTTTCATTGAATTTCTTAATGTAAAAATATGACTTCGGACAGTGAGAACCCAAATTCAAGTGCTAGACAAAAACGTCTAATTGTGTATGAGGATTCCTCTAGTGACAGCTCGATAGGAAATCCACCCAGAAAAAGGAAAACTTTGTATTTACAAGAATCAGATTCAGAATCGGATAGTGATTCTTCAAATGGAAGCGATAATGAGGAAGGTGTAGATGTAAGATTTATTCAAAAATGTTATTGTACACGTTTCATTGTTGCATATTTTTAGCAGGCGTCCGAAAGTTCCAATTCTGAGATTGTTCGAAGAGTAAAGAAGAAGGCAAAAATTGAATCCGACAATGATAGCAGCGAGTCAGACCAAGAAAACTCTCCCAAACCTTCTTCTTCACAGAATATACAGATAGACGAGGAGAGTTCATCATCTG